AGCCCCCCACTCCCCAGCAGCAGTCGCCCCCTCTCTCTCTGCTCAAGGACACGGCTCCAGGAGTTGCTCCTCTCTCTGCTGCCCCCTTGGTAAAGCATCGCCCCCACTGGCGCGTATCAACGTGCTGGGATGACACCCTTCTTTTCCTGATCTTTCATATCCTGTCCAGCTATTCCCCAACCTTGTCTGTCTACTTTTTTGTATAGGAAAATGGCAGAGACTCGTCTCTGTGCTGTGGCTGCATCTTCTCGTGAGCCTGCTCTAGAAGAGTTTACAGCCCATCACTCCACGACTGCAGCTTTGTTAATGTTCTCCTGTGATCACTGCAGTGCAAACCCAGGGGTCAACTTCAGTCCCAGACTCACTGCCTTACCAGGGCACTCAGTGCTTGCCCCCCTCCTTCCTGGACACCCCCCCCCCGCAGGGGGGCTCCAAGCCCCGCTCTGACAGTGCCCTCTGGCTGGGTTTTCAGACTCCATAACTGAATTTCCCCGTGGCCTCTCTGGTGGCTTCACGTGTCCCTGTACAAATGTATTTCCATCTCCTGCTTCTCTGCTCAGGAAAACAAATCAAAACTTGGAAATAAGGTGAAAGGATGGTGACTTTATCGGGGAGAGGCTTGTTGTCCTCTGCTGAGCTAGCACACCCCGCTCTCCCCCACCCCTGGCCTCTACCCTGCCCTCAGTGCACACGCCGCTCGGGACCCATCTATGTGCCGACTCTCTGACTAGCATGTAAACTCCATGCAGAAAAGGCTTGCTTTGGAATCCCATCTGTACCCCAAACCTGCAAAACTACTTGACGAATGGTAGGTGCTCATTAAATACATATTCAACGCCAAAATGAGCTGCTGTTCGTGCAGTTTCTAAAATACCATCAGTGGTGAAGTCCTTTGAACAGTGTGTGCGTGCGCGCGCGCGCGGGATGGACTGAAAGAGAGGGGCCGGCCCGGGACTGAGGCCACAGGAAACTCACCTGCTCTGGCCTGATGCTGCTGCGCTTACCGGTCCAAGGCCTGGTCCCTTCATGGGCTCTTCTCTCCATAAAGAAAAATTAACAATTAATTTTATGACTGCACCAGAACAAAGGCAACACTGCTCCAGGTTGGATTCATTACATTATCATATGTATTATTACATCGACACTATCATTATCACTCTTTCACTGTCATTTACAAAAATTAAAATGAAAACATTCCCCTGGACCCAGAAAGATAACTGAAAGCATGGACCCCATGCCTCCCTGGCCTGACGGAGAAGTCCTAGGGGTGCTGGACTCCATAGGCAAGATCAAATCGTTCAGGGGAATCCGAGGTCGCGGGCGTGGAGGAGCGCTGGGGGGGCTGCGAGGGAGGAGGAGGAGTGTGCGCGGGCGTGGAGGAGCGCGGGCGTGGGGGAGTGGGGGAGGAGGGGGAGTGTTCCCCGGGAGCTGCCCTGGGCAGCAGGGCGGGGGAGTCAGCTGGGAGACGTGCAGGGGGCCGGGTGAGGGACTCAGTCCTTCTCCCTCTGCAGGTGTCAGCCAAGGGGGTCGTTCTCACGGCCGAGCTCCTCTGCGAGGGTGGGGTTTTCGTTCCGGATTCACCGAGGGCGCCCCGTCGTCCGCTCCGTGTCTGCTGCCTCCTTGCCCTGCCGCCAGCTCCCTCCACCTTGGTCAGGCCTGGTGTGGGACAGAGGAGGAGTGCTTTCTCTAGTGGCCAGGGACACGAGCCTGGCGCCCTCGTCGATCCGCAGCTCCCTCCGTGACTGCCCGAGTCAGCCTGGCGCGCGGCTTCTCGCGGGGCTTCGCGCCCGGCGCCCGCGTCTCCCCGGACCCGCGACAACAGAGGTGCTTGCGCGGAGGGCTGGCTGAGGGCGGCTCTGACCCTCCGAGCCCTTTCTGGCACAGTGGCCGCGTCTGCCATCTGCGCACCCGTCGGGGGGACCTGAGTGTTGGCTAGGGAAGGCTCTCCTGTCAGAGTCTGGGGCGGGCTGGGCGGGGAGGGGGGGGGAGCCCCCTGGGTACTTTCAGTGTCTTTGCTGCACTGGATCCTAACCCAAAGTAGACAGAGTGGTGTCCGGCAGGGGGGAGGTCCCCAGGGGCTCCTGTGGAGCCTCTGCTGCCAGGCCTGACCCCTGGCCTCTGTGGGGACATGCCCTTTCTGCCTTCCCCCAGATATGGGTCATTTCCTGGAGGACTGTCAGGACATCCTGCCCTCCTGGGGAGTGAGATCAGTGCCTGGTCTGGACCATTCTGGAGCCCCAGGGCTTCCTGGGATTGGGCTCACTGCTCCCCAGACGGACAAGCGTCAGCCTTGCTCCTCCTGGGGTCTTTGGTGGGATGAGGCGGGCCCCAGGCGCAGCACCCCAGCAGACACCAGGCCAAAGGCTCCCCGAATCTGGGTCTTCCTCCAGCGGTATCTGCCCCAAGAGATTGTGTGCCCACTCGCAAGGAGGTGTGTTGGCTGGCTTCCGGTCCGGGCGATGTCCCTCCTTCCAGGCAGCCCTCACCTTCTGCGCTGGCTGCTCTCTCAGATCTCCCCTGGGAGGAGGGCCAGGGGATGTAGGTAGCAGGGGTTCTTCTCTTGCCTTATCTTCGTAAGGACAGAGAGCCACTGAGCGGAAACAGATCAACCACGTCTCACCCAGGGGCAGTTAGGAGAAGGAGGGCTGTAAAGTTTGCATGCCTGGGCACCAGACCCTGGAGCTCTGGAGGCTCCACTCGGGTGAGAAGCACAGGTACACCAGAAGGGCTCCTGGGACAGAAGACCTGAGGGTTTGGGAAGTCTCTGTTAGCAGAGCATCCCGGACCAGGCCGGTGATCACAGGGGCTGGGCAGTGTGTACGCTGCATGTGCGTGGCTCTCCTTGGGTGGGTGGGTACAGGGTGGCGTCAGGCCCTGGGGAGATGTTAGTCCAGTTTCCTGGAGGCAACGAGGGGGGCCTTGCTTCTTATTTCAACTGCTGAGGCGTGGAGGGAATGCAGGACACGGGGCTTCATAGACGCCGCTGAATCCCAGAGTTAGTCCAAGTCGGACCCAGAGTCCTTCAGGCAGTCCAGCTGGGGTCTGCTTCCCCAGGGCGGCTCCTCCTCCTGCCCCCTGCTCCCTGCCCCCCACTGGCAGGAAGGCCTCCTGCTGCCTGGCTTTGTGGGGGAGCCCAGGAGGACACTGGGCCATGTAGTCACGGGGACGAGGGTTCCAATCCCCACTATCCCACCCATTAGCCTTTTGTCCTCAGGGAAAGATCTTCCTATTTTGGGCCTCCATTTGCTGATTGATAAGGTGGAAGAATGACAGTTCGTCCTCCATAGCCTTGTTGATATGTGACCATTAGAAACTGTGGAACAGGTAACACCTAAGGGCTCGAGGCTGCTAGTGGTTGATATGTTAAAGCAATATCATAACTCCCGTGGTTAGGCCTTCAGCATGGTTTTGCAGATGAAGGAAAAATCCAGAAGACCAGGAGTTAAAACGCCTGTCCAGGCTCAACAGAATGGGGACTAACCCTGCGGCTCAGGCTGCCCGGGCTCCCACAGGGATGCCCATGGCGGGCCAGCAGGGAGAGCTCGTGGTCGCCGGAGGGAGCCTGGCCCTGGGCAGGAGCCCCTGCTGCTGTGAGCGAAGGCCCAACCTCAACACAGTGCCCTTGGCATATGCCGAAGGCAGAGACGGGCTGATAGGGAGTGCTGCTGAGGGACACACGCCACAGCCGGGAGCCAATCGCATCTGGACGTCCCAGTATTCCAGAGCTCAGTGCAGAGGGATGTGGCTCACGGGCTCTGGGGTCAGGGACTGGTCAGTGTGTCTGCACATGGCCACCGCCGCTGCTGGGCTCGCGCTCACGGTGTATATCCTGCGTCATAGCTCAGCTCACGTGCCTTTTTCTGCCCTTTAAAGGGAAGCTCTAGGCCCAACATGGGGAAGGGCGGCTCGAACTCAGGAGTCTGCCAGGCATCCGCCCCTCCCCCCCTTCCTTTCTTTGAAGCAGATTCTGAGTAGTCCCTTCAGCGAGGCTCTGTGGTTAATGAGCTGCTTGGTTGACATGTTTCCTTCAGCAGGTACTTGTGGCTTTGGAGGGGGCTGAGCTAGATTCCCGTCTTACAAGTCATTCCCCTCTGCATTGTGGGCACTTGTCCCCTTCTCCTCTGACATCTAATGATGTCATCACAGATGCAGGGGCATTTGTCTATGATTTCTATGTTTTTTTTTTTTAAGATTTTATTTATCTGACAGAGAAAGAGACAGCGACAGAGGGAACACAAGCAGGGGGAGTGGGAGAGGGAGAAGCAGGCCTCCCGCTGAGCAGGGAGCCCGATGCGGGGCTCGATCCCGGGACCCTGGGATCATGACCCGAGCCGAAGGCAGATGCTTAACGACTGAGCCACCCAGGCGCCCCAATAATTTCTGTTTTTGAAATATTACTTATTTACTTGAGAGAGAGGGGAGGAACAGAGGGAGAGGGAGAAGCAGACTCCCCGCTGAGCACAGAGTGGTCGCCCAGGACCCTGGGATCATGACCTGAGCCGAAGTCAAGAGTTGGATGCTCAACTGACTGAGCCACGCAGGGACCCCTGTCTCTGATTTCTAGAGGCTTTTAGACTTTTCTCTTCATTATTGTTTTGCTTAAAATACAGTACAATCTACACGTGTGCTCTGTGGTATATAAGTGTGTGGAGTGGAGGAAGGTGTTTGCAAGAACATGTGACCCCATGTATACACCACTATAAAGGTGACCTGACTGGTTAATACCTGGTGAACATCACTGTTGCAAACACTTATGTATGAAACTTACTTTCTTTTTTGGTTTACCAATGGCTAGCGTTCCAGTGAATGGACACACCAAAAATTAGCAAACCTTTTTTTTTTTAATTTAAATTCAATTAGCTAACATAGAGTACATCATTAGGCTTTTTTAAAATTTTATTTATTTACTTGAGAGTGAGAGAGAGCAGGAGCTGGGGGAGGGGCAGCGGGAGAGGGAGAGGCAGACTCCCCGCTGAGCAGGGAACCCAGTGCAGGGCTCCATCCCAGGACCCTCGGATCAGGACCCGAGCCCAAGGCAGATACCTAACAGGCGCAGCCCCCCAGGCACCCCAGGGCAGGACTTTGAAAGACTATGCCTGTATCAGGAGAAGAGAAGGAAGCTGAGTTCCGCAAGGCGGGGGGTGAGGAGGAACAGCCACCCGTTCCCGCCTGAGAACCAGGATAAACGCCCTCACGTTGGCTTAGGACTCTTGTCCCTCGCGTCTTCGGGGAACCCCCAGGGTGAGTAATGAACACAAAAGGTGGCCTTGGGCAGGGGACCATGCTTGGGTGACTGGAAGGAGCCAGAGAATCGCTCAGGTGCAGCGCAGCCCCAGCCCAGGCCCCCCTGCCCGAGGAACAGATGTCCCGGTTGTGGACGTCTGCGATGTTAAAGGCAAGGCTATTTCTGCACGGGAAGTTCTGACGAGGCACAGGAACGAGGATCATCAAGCGGGGTCCCTCCAGATCACCTGGAGGATTTTCAGGAAGAGCCCAGTGGACATGCGCAGCCAAAAGCCTCAGGGAATTCCAAGTGGGACACACGAAAAGGGACTTCCACGGAGCGCTGGACAGTGAGACTGCAGGAGCGCTGCGGACCAAGAGACGACCTTGACCCCTAGATGCTTTACTGCGAGGTTGTTTCCAAGATGTGCGCGGTCACTCCCAACCCCACATCCTTCGATGGGGGGAAGGGGTGCGGGAAGGGCCCAAGGAGCGGGGTTCGCGTGGCGCCTCTGCCAAGGATGAGCCGCGAGGCTGTGCAGCTGGATGGATTCTCCGAGCCTCGGTTTCCCGGCCTGGGCCACACGGGTGAGCTCAGTGCTCCCCTGCCAGGGCTGCTGTGAAGAGGAGGGAACACGTGTGCCCCCACGGCACAGAGGGACACACACAGGCTCCCTCCAGGGGGGCGGCTTCCATTCCAGGCCTGCCTGCCATCTCGCGTCACGACACAGAGCAGGGCCTCAAATAGAGAGGCGACTTTTGAGCGGCGGGAGAAGCAACCCACGTTCATCGAGCGCCTGCTGAAGCAGAGAGCTGGGCACCTTCCAGATGCCAACCTTGCTGTGTCCTCCCCGGGGCCTGTGAGGTGGGAGTTCTTGAACAGAATGCCCCCGGGAAGAACTCGAGGCTCAGAGGGATGAAGGGCTGGGCGCGATGGAAAGGCCGGGCCCCGGCTTGTGCCCGTGTGCCCGCAGGGTCTGGAGCCCCTCTTCTCCGTGGCTCCACGGCCCCTTCAGCTGTGCCTTGCCGGGGCGGGGGGAAGCCCACGCTCCTGGCAGCAGTCGTCCTCCACCGCCGATGGAGCCAGGAGGGTGTAAATCCTCTCCCTCCTCCAGGGAATCTGCGCGGGAACAGAGGCCCGAGGGGCACCGGGGTGCGGGCAGGGCTGGCTCAGCCAGGGTGCGGCCCCGCCTCCCTCCCTGCCTTGCTGTTAGCTCAGGGCCTGGTTCTCCCCAGGGGAGGTGGGGGTGGGGTGAGGAGGGAGAGCGAGCAGAGCGACCCCACCACCCAGCCTTGCCTCCCGGCCCCTTTCTACTCAGGGGGCAGGGGCACCTGGCCCCAGGCAGCACGGGACAGGCTGCTCGCTTCTGCCAGCTAGGAGACCCCAGCCGGCTCTCAGCTGTTCAGAGCCTCTTCCTCCCACGATGTCAGGGCCGGCCCCTCTCCTGAGGGCCACTGCCAGAGGGCAGCCAGGCACTGCACACAGGGGGCTTCACTAAGGGGAGCACGGGGCTGTGCCTGGCTGAGATGGCCCCAAGCCGCCTTCTAGAGACTTCTCTGTGGTCACCCTGTGGCCAGCCAGAGGAGTTCACCATCCTCCCTGCTTTCAGAGGAGTATCATTGGCCCAGATGTCCACGTCAGCTCTGCGGTGGCTCTTCTAATAAACACTGCTCCTGACCCACTTCTCCGGGCCCTTGGCTGGGTGCTTCAGCCACAACCCAGAAGACTGGCACTGCCAGGAGGAGCCCAAGTGGACTGAGCAGAACAGGTAGGGGGGCGACTAACAGCCCAGCTTGAAGCTCTAGGCTGGGCAAGAGCATTGTCGAAAACCAGTATGGCGTTTGAAATGGCAACAGGCAGGACAGGGACCCCAAGTTGTCAGCTCTTCATGGGGGCAGAGTTGAGTACAGAGGGGAAAAGCGATTGGACAGGGAGGCAGGGGGTGGGGCGGATCTGAAGACCCTGCAGCTAGTGTTGAGGCGACAGAGGCTCAAAGGCCCTCCGATGGTGCTCCTTGCTGGAGAAGGTGCTGGTGGGACTGGGCACACAGCCAGGACCTGCAACCAAGGGTCATCCCCCTGACCCTTTGTGCAAGATGCTGGCGGCCCAGTGCCGTGGCTCAAGAAGCAGGGCCCTTGGGAGAAAACAGGGGTGGCCTGGGGTCAGGCAGAGGGGGGCTGGCGGAGTGGCTGGCCCGACAGCGTGGTGACGTGACTAGCTGATGGCCCGGAAGGTGAGGAGGGGGAGGGTGGAGGGTATCAGTATGAACTGGTAGATCATCTTTACATCCTCGTGTGTTAGGGTCTCCACCAGGAAGTTGTTCAGCACCTAGGACAGAGGCGCGGGTTCCGCGCGCACAGCTGGTCAGCCCCATGGTCCAGGCCTCGCCTCCCCCGCCTTCCTGGACCCTACTCCTTGGGCTGGGTGCAGCGAAGAAGCCAGTGGTTCCCAGCCAGGCCGCCCAGCACGCCCAGCCCCCACCC